CAGACAGACAGAGAGAGACATAGAGACAGAAAGCGAGAAATCACCCCCCAGGGGGGATGGTCACGCCGCAATCCCTTCTCCTCCATTCTCCTCTCGGGATCTTGGGCACGCACGCACACGCGCCCAGCGTGAGTTTTAAGCCACCGGGTCCGGGACACAAACTGCGGTCGACCACGTGGGAGTCCAGCGACATAGCCATTACGCTAACTGCTGGTTCCCACTAGATCTGTTTTTGAATTGGGTCCCTGGATTTTCACTTTGCTCCCACCTTGAGTGTTACCACCCTCCTCACAGCTTCCCAGACCAGGGACATGGAGCAGGGCAGGAAGAGTCAGAACCTCTCCCCATCCCCACCCCCCATGTCTTCCCACTTCAGCCTGACACCAAGGACCCTGTGGGAGACACCCACTCCACACAACTCTGAGCCACCGAAATGGAGGGATCTGCAAATCCTGCTCAGGGCTGATAACAAAGGCTTCTCTGCAAAGGGAATTTTTCCCGACACTGCAAAATACTTTGGATGGCTGCCCAGGATTCTCTTTCCAGCTCTCCCTTTTCCAAAACTCTTTCAATTCTTCTCATTACCCAGCCTCCATTAGGTGCTAACCTCTCCTTAACACTTGATAGCTTCTGATGGTCCCCAATTATGAGGACCACTAATCTTTCCTTTTATCTGCTGGCAGCTTTAGCTGGCAAGGGGTAGAGGCAGGGTCAGGGGAGCCCTGAACCATAGGGGCTGGCAGGGCACACCCAGAAGATTCTGAGCCACAGTCTCCTATGCTGTCAACCCTGCAGGGACCAGAGGATGCTGCTACCCTCCCAAGATGCTGAATCATCTCATGACAAACTATCTCAACTGTTTCTACCATCCCTCCTCCTGCTAATCCAACGAGGTGCTCTGTGGGTTTATAATCTTCCCCGATGGTTTAAGGCTATAACACCATAATCGCTGCCAAGGCAAGGGCTTGGGGACATGAGTTTTAATGTCTTGTGTGCCTGGCACAGGGCTGGGAAGGTTGTTGGGCTGACCTGGACCTCCTGGCTAGCAGGGGAAGGTGCCTAGTGCTGCACACATGCTACCTGCTCCTAGAGGGCAAGCCCTCTCTCATGGCCTACTCTCGGCCAAGGGGATAGCCCCCCATAATGCCAGCTCTGCCCATGGGGCCATTTTAAGACTATCACATAGCCTATCCCCCAATGTCTGCCTGCCTTACACCTCCACTTATGGAGGATGAAAAGTGACTTCAGTTCCCCCCCCTTCAATCCCAGCCCCCTCATCCTGTTCTGACTCCTCATGGTGTGCAGGCTGGTTAACAGCGTAATGCATGCATGTCACAGAACCCTGTTTCCAGTCCTTCCTCCACACTAGTGTTCTTTACTGTCTCTAAGACTCCTTTTCTTCGTCTGTTATGTGAGGATAACATTGGCATTTTTGAAAGCAGTTGTTGAGATTAAACTGGATGAAGTATACAGAGTGAGTACCTCCACAACATACAAGAGCTATTTTTTGTTAAAAAGCCAGGCCGTGTTCTGACCCTTTTGTAACAGCAGGATGCACCCCCCCCCTTTGCTTACGGAATAAAAAATAAGCTTGCAGGGCATCTCCTGGCCACAAGACAGACCCAAGTGCACCTGAGACAAGGTTTTCATCCCTGCCCAAGTGCTACTCTAAGTCCACTCCACACATACTTCCTGAGGACCTCCTACGTGCAAGGTTCCTTTCAGGGCTGGCTCTGCTGGAAGGCAGAGGTCGGTGCTACCACTCAGATCTGATAGTCACATACCATCCAGGTCTAAGGCGTCAAACCCGCCGCTGTCATTATCTTCTTCAACTGTGCTGCAAGACACAAGGGAGGGACCGGGAGGTCACTTGTGTGTGTGTGTGTGTGTGTGTGTGTATGTGTGTGCGTGTTTTTTGTTAAAAAGCCAGGCCGTGTTCTGACCCTTTTGTAACAGCAGGATGCACCCCCCCCCTTTGCTTACGGAATAAAAAATAAGCTTGCAGGGCATCTCCTGGCCACAAGACAGACCCAAGTGCACCTGAGACAAGGTTTTCATCCCTGCCCAAGTGCTACTCTAAGTCCACTCCACACATACTTCCTGAGGACCTCCTACGTGCAAGGTTCCTTTCAGGGCTGGCTCTGCTGGAAGGCAGAGGTCGGTGCTACCACTCAGATCTGATAGTCACATACCATCCAGGTCAGAGCCCACCCCCCCGCCGCTGTCATTATCTTCTTCAACTGTGCTGCAAGACACAAGGGAGGGACCGGGAGGTCACTTGTGTGTGTGTGTGTGTGTGTGTGTATGTGTGTGTGTGCAGGTGAGCAAGGGAGGAGGAAGCTTCCAGAATGTTCTGGCTTTCAGAGAGGTCTTGATTCTGAAAGGACTGTGGGCAGGAGAGGAAGGTCAGCAGGTAAGTGGAGAGGGATCTGGGGGAGAAGGGCAGAAGAGAATGGAGTGTATAGACAGGACAGTTCTGCTGAGAGGGTGGGGGCCTGGCAGGCTGCAGAGGCTGCATCTGCCAGTGGGGGAGTTGGGAACACGAGCAGGGGTGAGCAGAGGCCTGACAGCCCTCCTGGCTACTTCTCCTTGCAGTTCTTCCGGACACCGCGTGTACTTAATATCCCTTGGAACTGGATGGACTGTGCCGTGTGGTGCGTGTGAGCTGAGTGCCCTTCAGACAGGAGGGGATGGGTGAGCCTTTGTGGGTTCCAGCCATCCTCAATAGATCAGGTGGAGGAGGCAGCCTCAGCACAGCAGCCACATGTGCTTCCGAAAGCCACTTTGGACACCTCCCCAAGCTGGCCAGAGGGGAGCAGGCCACCAAGGAAGACTGTGAAGGGTAATCCTACAGGCAGCAGGGTAGGGCTGATGAGGGATTCGTGTGGGCTCTGGCTGCTGATCCTTGAGCCTGTTTCTGGAAATGGCTGGGGCAGGTCGTGCTGAAAGGCTCCCATCCCAGCCTGCAGCAGGACTGGGGAAATGATCCAGTGGCCTTGGCTCCTCCTTGCTCTTGGCCCTTCTGGAAACTACCCAGCAGTCTGACTGACTATGATGTGCCAGATATCTGGCTGACTGGAAACATCTGGATGCCAGGTGTACCTCTGATGTGGTTTTGGGGAGGTGAGGAAGATAGGGGAAAGGATGGGGAAGACATCTGGGGGACTTACTCTTAGGCAGAAAAAGCCAAAGGGGCCCAGGACAAAGTGACACAGGCTCAGTCATCTGATAGCTAGCTGGGTGACCCTTTTAAGGCTTCTTCCCTTCTCTGAGCCTCAACTTACTCATCTATACAACTGGCACCACCTGTCTGAATTAGTAGGTGTGGAGTGGCTGAAGACAGGGTAAGTGAAGTGGCACACGGTGGATCAGGCGAACACCCCCACTTCCTCCCTCCACCTTCAGCCCACCTGCGATGAGGGGCATCTTCCTTATAGCGTCTGACAATGGAGTCATTTCCTGGGGGTTCTGCAGTGATTGACATGATGCTGCTGCGGCTCCGATGGGGCTGCTTCAAACACACACGCACAGATGTGTTACGGGAGCCAGATATTTATATGCAATGCCTCCACAGGCATAAATATTATATACACAGGGACTAAATTTAACTTAGATTCATCTCCGCCTCTGACTCAGGCAGCGTGGGCACAGCAAGCTGGTTCTCAGCGGCGACCTTGGCCAGAGAAGGCTCACGTTCAGCCTGGGGCAGCCACAGCCGTGAGCCTGGAGCACATCTGTTCACACATCTGTTCACAGAGAGCGTGCAGGCAGAAACTGGCCAAGGCAGTGCCTTGCTGTCCTGCACAGGCTGGGCTGTGGCTGCTATGGGCACTTGTTCCGGACACCCTGAAAAATGTGGCACCAATGGTCTCCCAAGACAGCAGCTGCAAGAGGATGACCTTTGACGCCAGGCCTGCTAGCTCCTGGCAAGACCAGTCTTAAATAAGAGCCTCGGCTTTTGCCACCCTGAGTTGCCATCAGACAGGAATCACTCATTATGAAATTTCCTCTTCCCTCAGGGCCTAAATTTGGAAGCTGAGCTGACAAGCTTCCTGAAGCTTCCCCTCGGGGTCAGAATTTTGAATCCTGTGCCTTCTGCTGCCTGGCTGGGGGTGAGTGACACTGGATCTGGCAGCTGGGACCCTGCCTTGGCTCTGCCCAGGTGGGCTGGAGCCCATTGAGGGGTTCCGGGTTAGGGAAGGAGACAAAGTCCTAGCTCTACAGCTTGGGTGGTACCAGCTGCTCACAGCCCCTTACCCTGGCCTCGGTGCATCTCCCCAGGCTGCTAGAGTTGCCAGGGGCTGCGAAGTTGCAGCAGAATTTTCAGCCGCCTGTGCAATTTGCAACAGCCCCTCAGAGGCCCATCTCCTCCTCCTACCAAGTGTTAAATTGGGAAAGGAGGCAGTGAGAAGGTGTAAATACAGTGTGATGCTGTGGAAACATCTTTAAATAAACACAAGGAAGGCCTGGGCTGCGGCCCCAAAAGGAAGAACGACACTGCTCACAGGCCTGGGCTGGGGGCAGGTGAGGAAGGGGGTGGTGGACAGAGCTGGTGGCCCTGGGGACAGCATTCTTAAGGGGGAGTGGTTGTTGGGGATAAGCGGGTTGAGTGAGAGGCCACAACTTACCATCTTGGAGAAGGAGTTGGTGATGGGCAGAGAGGTGGAGGGGCTGGGGCTGGCATCTGTACCTTCTTCTTCGTGTCCCTTGACTGTCCTCATGGGAGACAGAGAAAGGGGAAAGGGCAGGGAGGATTAGAGGTAAGAAAGACAGAGGGGAGGGAGAAAAGAGAGGGAGAAGGGAATGAGAGTCCCTGAGGCCAACATGTGTGTGGCCTTTCCCGACTGGTGGGTCTCCCTGATCTTCTTCCGATGGTAAGACAAGGACCCTCTCTCTCCCTTGGGAGCTTGCTCGCCCTCTCTAGCATCTGCTGAAGGAGGAGTCTTCAAAATCTTCTCTCCTATTCCCCTACTCAGCTGTAGGTTCCTACAAGGAAGGCCCGTCTTTTCAACTACATACCCCTGTCCCCAACTGAGGCTGGGCCCAGGGTGGCCGCAGTCAGAGTTGAGAAACATCATTTGTTTCTGAGGACTGAGGCAGGCCTGCATGGCATTCTCTCTGGAGCAATGGACACCAGCAGTGAAAGTCTCTCAGTGGTGTGAGAATATTTTTGCCCAATCACTTTGTTATCAAAACAGATTCCACCTTTCCCAGATACAAGGCTAGTTGTCCAGAGACTGGCACAAATTGGGGGCAAATCTGTCCCCTCCTAAGCAAAGCTTTTCTATTGTCTCCCCCAGCTCTACCAGTATCTGCCTTTGGGTTCTGTGCACGCTCCTGTCAGCCCTCTTTGAACGGCTTTGATGTCCATGCCCCTGTCCCCACCTGCTTTGCTGTGTGTGTGCACACACGGGTGTGTGCACATGTACACATACACCCCTCAGTCTGTGGGTACCTGATGGGGAGGGATTGTATGCTGCACTTCCTGTGCTCCCAGCACCTCACACTAGATAGCCCGTCAAGGTTGGTGAGTAAAGCAGCCCTGCTGTATTCTTTCCTTTCCTTTCAGGGCAAATACCCTCTCTACTTCCCATAGGTCTTGGGCCCTTTGCCCTTCTATTCTGATAAAGAAAGTCATTGGGACATGAGGGAGAAAGACCAGCCCCAGCTCTGAGGTCCCTTCACTGCCCTCCATGTCTGAAAAGAATTGCCTATAGCTCAGGTCTACGCGCCCCATCCTGCCATCCTCAAAGCCCTCATAGGGGCAGGATGAGCATCTGCAGCACAGCCTTCCAGTCTGCCCAGCTGCCCAGCCCAGCCCATCGCTGCATTCCCAGAGCTTTCCTGCCCCAGGCTCCAAGATGGCAGAGCAGCATCATGTACTTCCTGGTCCCCACCTCTGATTTGGAGGGTTTCTGCTCCCCATGCTGTCCCTTTTCCAGGTCCATTTAAAATGTCCCCTTTCTGACAGATCCTTCTCCTCACTATGGCCCTGCCTGAGTGCGTGCACTCTGAAACAATGTCCTGGACCTTCCAGCATCTAGCACACAGTAGGAACTTGATTTGTCAGGGCCCTCGCCAGCCAATCCATCATTCCCAGAGTCACAGTAAGACTACAACACTGGCTTTTCGAAGGCAGTGTTTCTTGGAGAGCCAAGACCTTATGTGTGAACCAACAGCCTCCTATGCCTGGGACTGCCTGGTCAAAGTCTGGGAGGAAGGTCAAGCTATCCTTCAGCTGATAAGTTGCAAGGAAAAGGTACAATTTGGCTCCAATATTGAGGGCTCTGGACAGATCCTCTGAGAGAGGTGGGGGATGGAGCAGACAGATCCACAGGGTGACGTTTTGGTGGTCTGGGCTCCTGCTGGCTTTGGGTGAGTATGAATGTTATTTATTATCTAGATGGACCCCCACCACCCTGAGGCCCCCAAGGTTTGCCCTGCAGGATTGGTTGCTACAGTGAGAGAAACAGATGGACCAAGAGAGTTGGAGTGACAGATGAGACAGGGCGAGAGAGATCCGGGCATCTCACTAACCTTGAAAATCTGATGCTCGCTTCAGGCTGATGGGGGATTTGGCTCTCTGCAGCTGAAAGAGAGGGGAGGGAAAGAAACAAGACACAGGACACAAATCAAACAAGGCCCTGGACACATGTCACCGAGCTAAGAAAAAAAAAAAAAAAGCGGCCCATCCTGCCTCTCGTCACGCGGCTGCCTGTGTCGACACGGAATGCACACCATGCCCAATGCCCGTCCCTGTGCTGGGACTACAAGACACGGTGGCTCCCCTGGGCCTGGCTCAGGCAGCTGCTGGTACAGACAAGCACTCTTCCCAGGGAGTCTGTGCAACACAGCTCTCAGCAGAAACCAGTGCATGAGCCAAGAGCAGCAGGGGGAAGGGCAACGCTTGGGAGCGTGAGGCTGAACAGGGCTGGGCATGGACACAAGGGAATTTTTGGAGAAGGACAAGGCTCTCAGGCAACAGCACAAAGCACTAACCGGCCCCTGGTAAGATGCCACGCTGCCTTTGGCCTTCTGGCTCAGTGCATGCAAGGCTGGGTGAGGCAGAGGACATGAGGCCCTGTGAGATGGTCTCATTTGCTCCCTCGCTTCCTTCCCAGCTCACTCACTCATTTCTTATTGAAAGTCAGCCATGTGCCATGGATCACATTGAGCAGAGCCTGAGGATTACAGCAGTGACTCTGGCTCCAAATCCCGAACTGGCCTGTGATAGGCACTCAACACTTACTCGGTGAGTAAACACATGAATTTGGAAATAATGCCCATTTCATCCTTTCTCCATTTTAAATGTCCATTACATTTCTTAGAGAAAGAGAATCAGTAAAAATAAACAAATAAATAAAAAGCATAAGTTGGCCTGACGTCTGCTTCTAGGGCTGAAATGTGTCAAATCATATGTGGGTACCCAAGACCCAAGCAGAACCAGGTGTGGCAGTGCTGCACCATCACCTCCCATAGGAGCTCCAGCTCCTCCAGTCCCTCCTGCCCCTTGGTGCCCTGTGTCACCAGCCCTCCACCTCTGAGCACCTGGATGCCCTTCAGGTTCATCCTGCGCCGGGGCGGGTGGTAGGGCAGGAAGTACTTGCTGTCCTCGGGCGACTCCTCTGAGGTGGAAGAATCGTCAGCTTCTTGGCCATTGGTCCTGGGGCTGGCGTCCCCAAAGTTCTGAGAGATGATGGTCACTGGCAGGTTCCGGGGCAGACTCTGGAGACAAAGAGAAGTCGGTGCTGGAGACAGAGCTTGACGAGCAGACACCAGCCAGTAGCACGGCTTGGTTAATGGCACCATCATTCCTGTAGGCACCCAAGCTTGACACACAAGATGGCTGTTCTTTTTTTGTGACCCTAGTGTCTGCCTGGATGCCAAGGCCTATCATTCTAGCTCAACTATCTCTCCTCCTCACAAGCCTCTGGGCCTAGCTTCCTCCTACTGGGGGCCTGGATAAAGTCCTTGTTTTCTTTTCTTTTTTTTTTTTTCTTTTAGAGGTTTTTGTTGTAGGGTGCATGTGCTCGCTAGACAGACAGACAGAGAGACAGAGAGACAGAAAGCGAGAAATCACCCCCCAGGGGGGATGGCCATGCCACAATCCCTTCTCCTCCATTCTCCTCTTGGGATCTTGGGCACGCACGCACACGTACCTGGCGTGAGTTTTAAGCCACTGGGTCCGGGACATGAACTGCTGGACTACATGGGAGTCCAGCAACATAGCCATTATGCTAACTGCTGGTCCCAGTCCTTGTTTTCTTATATGATAGGAAAGAGACTACCTCCCAGCTGCTTGCTGGTCCTGGCCCCTTCAATCTGACATGCCATGATTATATATCCACTTTCTAGTCATGTGCCTAAACTGAAGACCGGAAGTATCGCCAAATGACTGGATAATGATAAAAACAGTGTCAGGTACTGTCCTGAGTACATTATACTCATTATCTCATTTAATTCTCCCTGACACGGGTATCTTGTTAATAATCACATTCACAAAATAAGAAACTGAGATACAGGGGCATTAAATGACTGATGTGTGAAGCCCCGCCTAAAGCCATGCTGGCTATGCTGCCTCCTTACCTGAAGTTTTCTGCAGGACTTCTGGTCCCAGAAGAGCAACAAAGGTCGCTAGCATCCATACCTCCCTGTTATCTCCTCCAGCTTCTCATCATATCCCACCATCCAGACAGACAGCTGTCAGTTGTGGCCTCCTGACAGCACGGTGTGTTACCTGTCCATACCTTCGCGCTTGCGTGCTTGGTCTGGAATGGTCCTGTCTCTCCTCACCTAATTAGGCTCTATCACAGGCTTATGCATATATTGGGCAGATACTCACTGAGGGTCTATACCGTGTCTGACACCATGCTGGGTGTTGGAAACAGAGAGACCTTCATGGAGCGTATGCCTAATTATAAGCTGGGGTAAATACTTAAAGGGAAGGGGTGTGATCATATCTTGGAGGTCCTAGTTTCTCTTACCCTGGGCAGTAAAAGTCTCTCTGAGGAAATGATACTTCAACTAAGTTTAGAGGTGGGCAGACCTGGCCAGGTGAAGTGGGTAAGAGTACTCCAGGTGGGCCCCTGAGACCATCAAGAGCTCCTCCTGCAGGAATCCTCTCTTGAAACCCAGAAGGCCTCTTCCTTGGGCCCTTGTGGCACTCCTTTTTAACTCAGAATTCACAACATTTTGTTGAAATGTCAGGTTCCTGTATTTGCCTTTATGCTGGATTCTGAGTTCTTTGAGGGGAGAGGAGGATCTTATTACAGTCTCAGACAGACAGCTGTCAGTTGTGGCCTCCTGACAGCACGGTGTGTTACCTGTCCATACCTTCGCGCTTGCGTGCTTGGTCTGGAATGGTCCTGTCTCTCCTCACCTAATTAGGCTCTATCACAGGCTTATGCATATATTGGGCAGATACTCACTGAGGGTCTATACCGTGTCTGACACCATGCTGGGTGTTGGAAACAGAGAGACCTTCATGGAGCGTATGCCTAATTATAAGCTGGGGTAAATACTTAAAGGGAAGGGGTGTGATCATATCTTGGAGGTCCTAGTTTCTCTTACCCTGGGCAGTAAAAGTCTCTCTGAGGAAATGATACTTCAACTAAGTTTAGAGGTGGGCAGACCTGGCCAGGTGAAGTGGGTAAGAGTACTCCAGGTGGGCCCCTGAGACCATCAAGAGCTCCTCCTGCAGGAATCCTCTCTTGAAACCCAGAAGGCCTCTTCCTTGGGCCCTTGTGGCACTCCTTTTTAACTCAGAATTCACAACATTTTGTTGAAATGTCAGGTTCCTGTATTTGCCTTTATGCTGGATTCTGAGTTCTTTGAGGGGAGAGGAGGATCTTATTACAGTCTCCACAAGCCACTGGTAAGCTGTGCCCTCTGGCAAGTTACTCAGCTGTGTGTATCTGGGTCCTTCCTTTGTAAATGAGGCTAGTGAGCCTACCTTCCCTGCAGGACAGTTCTGCGGGTTAAATAAGATATTGCACAGAATGCACCTAGCAGGGTACCTGGATGTGACAGGCACTCGTAAACCTACAGCTACATTAATGATACTATCATCTACCTAGATAGCAGCATTCGTTCATTTCTGAGCACCTCCAACTCTCTATGAAATGCACTCTGCGATGAGAGTTTACTCATGGGTGCTAGCACTTTTGGACAAAAGCAGGGAATTTAAACTCAATGACCTTTCAGATGATGAGGGGCACCTGTTGGGAGGTCATGGCTGGCTGTGGTCAACTGAGAATAACAGAGAAGATACTCATCTTGGAAGTAGCCAAGCAGGGTTTACTCTGCCATATTCTAACTTCAAAATTAGTGGTTTCTATTCATCACTACACAGATCCAGGTTAAAGTAATTGCATCACCCTGGGTGTGTGAGGGAAGGCCGAACTTCTGGCTCACAGTATGCAAAGAGCCATTGCATGGAAAGGTGGTGACTCGGTCAGCCTTCAGCTGGGGTCGGGGGTACCCAGCTTCAGGTCTACCTGGTCAAGGCTTCCACTGTCCTTGGAGAGGCGTCGAAGCTTGCTCTCCAGGTTGACAATGCAGGCTTCCCGCCGTACCATCTCGATCCGCATCTCATCATTTTTCTCTTCCAGCTCACGGATCTGTTTTCTATATTTGTCCTTTTCAATTAAGCACTGTGAATACTGGGTCTGTGCTTCATCTCTGGAATGGAAGGCCTGCCAGGGAGAAGGAGAACAAAGACCACTTGGGTTCTTCACCTTGACCAAACCAAATCTGATTCAGGGACATACACTACCTCCAACCCACATGCCATGTCATCTACTGCTCTATTCTTGGCCCTGACTCTTGGGTATTTCAACTGCTACCTTCATCAATACTATCACAGAACTGTTTTTCCAGTCTTTGCTTCAATGCAGCATCTCTTCAAGTCCATATTCTGCCTCTAGAAGGTAGTGCTACTAGAGTTATTTCCAGTCCACAGATGAGGTCACTGAGTATGCGGGGGTAGCAGCTTGCCTGTGGGCACATATCATGAGTGCTAGGCTGGGATCTGAACCTGCCCATCTCATTTGAGAGACTGGGCATGTAAGAATCATGCTTGATTGTGGGAGCCATTGGAACCCAGCCCGGACCCCCATGATACCCAAACACCTATGAATTCTGTAAACCTTTGGGATGGAATTCATCATTGGAGCAGTAACAGGAAAGATGAATTCATAGTAATCCCTGCCTAGCCAGTGATGCTACACTGAGCAATACACTGTGACAGACCTCAGTGGCCCGAGGTGTGGCCCCAGTGTGCAGCCTCACGTCCACACACTCCAGGTGGCACTCATACCTGGTCCCGCTCCCGCTCCACCTCCTCCAGCTGCAGCATAACTGTGTTCATGCGGTGCTTGTACATTTCACAGTCCTTCCCCAGGGTCGAGCACTTGAGCTCTAGATCCTCCTTCTCCTCCAGGTACTGTGAGCGACGGGGAAAAATCAATACATGCATCAAGCAATCAATAGGTCAGGGTTGACAGCTGTTTTCTGGTCAGCTGTTTCTGCTGGCTGGCTGAGGCTGGTTTGTCCCCCTCCCTAAGCCACTATGATCATGACATGGCCTCTTCTTTTGAAAGCGAGCTATCTGACTGGAAGGGACCATAGTAGGAGGCCAGTCAATCAACCAAAGATTGTTGTAGACCTACTATGTGTCAGGTAATGCAAGGAATGATACTGCCATCCTGTGACTTTTGGTAAGCTAATACAATAACTTATAAATAACTGCCAGGAGCTGGATGTTGGGAGGTATAGGAAATTTGTACCAGGGGTTAGACCCATCCCTGGAAATGGGTGTGGAATCAGGTGTGTGTGTGTGTGTGTGTGTGTGTGTGTGTGAGGCCGTCCTGTTAATACACATGGTACATCCTGGGCAGATACTATATCCCACTGTCCATCAGGGCTCCCACCTTGTCCCGCAGCTCCTCTGCCTGGCGGACCTCCTCCTGCAGATTGTAGATCTTGTTGACGAGCTCCTGCCGGTCCTCCAAGGCCTCCTTCCGATCGTGCTCCAGAATGTCCAGGATGGCCTTGTCTGAGTCAGGTAGGCTGCGCTTGCCAGCCTGGTGGTCAGGAATCAGGTGTGTGTGTGTGTGTGTGTGTGTGTGTGTGTGTGAGGCCGTCCTGTTAATACACATGGTACATCCTGGGCAGATACTATATCCCACTGTCCATCAGGGCTCCCACCTTGTCCCGCAGCTCCTCTGCCTGGCGGACCTCCTCCTGCAGATTGTAGATCTTGTTGACGAGCTCCTGCCGGTCCTCCAAGGCCTCCTTCCGATCGTGCTCCAGAATGTCCAGGATGGCCTTGTCTGAGTCAGGTAGGCTGCGCTTGCCAGCCTGGTGGTCAGATGGGAAGGTTTAGCGGTGTTGGGGTGGGAAGCCAGGAAAAAGGTGGACCCGGAAGGCAGGGGACAAAAGAGCCAGCGACAGACACTGACAGAGCAGAACGTTTTGTGCTAGGAAAGCGGAGGCAAGAAGAGATGTCTCTTGGGGTCTTTAAGCAGCTTATCGCTTAAGAAGTTTATCACCTGGAAAGAAGCACAAAACTCACTTCTGCTCAGGAATATCCTGAGCCTATTGTTGTGCCCCAGCTCTTATCAGAGCCGAGAGAAGCAGTTGCTACTCCTCAAAACATTTCACAGGCGACAACAAAGGGAAGGCTGATCTGCCTTCCAGATGCTTCCCCGAAATATCAATTAATCTGCTCTGATTAAACAGGATTCATCCTCTGCTCTGAAACAGAGCCTTAAACACCAGTCAGCCAAGCCTGGGAGGGATACTTTTGGAGGAAGTAGAGGAGATACATTTTTTTTCTTTCTCTGCAGATGTATTTTGGGATGTTATTCTTCAGTAACCTTCTCCTCCAAACTCAGAAATGATTCCGTGATGACAAATGCAGGGAGGCATTTGAGGTTTGAACAAATGGCAGAGTGGATAGTTGTGTTTCCTGGAATCTTAAGGACAAGTAGGTTTCCTGGATGCACTTGTCTCTTCTCACAGTGCCCAGGGCATTGCTTTTCATGTGAAAAGATTTTCATGAACCACTTAAATTAAGACAACATTTTCACAAGTATTAGCTCATATAATGTCATGTCCCTGACAAGTTCATGGTGTGGTCACCTTCACTTTACAGAAGATGAAACTAGGTGGCTAAGTGTGACATGCATTGTCTGTGGTCCTGTAGTCAGCCACACACAGGTGGGCGTGTCTGTCCCCTCACTTCCAAACCTCACCCTCCTCTCTGACTACATGGCTCCGCTCCAGGCCCTCACCTGTATGATGGACTGCAGCTCCTGGATTTTGGTCTTCAGCATCTCATTCTCCCGCTCCAGTTCCAGAACCTGCTCCTTCTTGGGCCGATTTTCTATGTCATTCTTCAATTTTAGTGACTGATTTCTCTCTAGCTTACATTCTTCCTCCATTTTATTCAATCGGTGCTTTAGTTGGTCAATCTGAGCCACCCCAAGGGTGCAGAAGAGAGAGTGTAATTAGCGAGAAACACTCAGAAAAGGCCATGTTTCCCAGATCCTCCTGGCCTGCCTGCACAGCTTACGTCGTACCACCTTCCTCTTGCTCCCAGTTGGTGGCAGAGAAGGGCTCAATAAACCTTCTCCAGTAAAATGAATCACTGTCTCCTTGGTGGAGATGCTGATGGAGGGTTCCTGATTACTTTAGAACAGTTCTAAAGGGGCTGTATGTCTCTCAGAAAATTCCCCCAGATAACGTGGGGTAGGACAGACTACAGATAGGAATAATATACCCAAATGCCTTTTTAAATGATAGATTTCAAAACCTGATCCTTGGAACTCAAGGATTCCCCTAAAGAATCCTAGATTTACCAAAGGGAATGGAGATGGCGGAGAAGTGAGGGTTCTGGGTCCCCACTCTCACCTCATCTCCTGGATCAGCTCTGCTCATAGGTTTTGTCCTCTTGGGTTTCATACAGATTTTATTTGAACAAATGGCACTGCTGCTAAACAAAATAGCTGGAATCCACTGGACTCTAAGTTCGCAGGATATCTGGCCTAAAAGACCTGCCAAGGTTTAGTGCCAGAACAAGTGGGTACCTGGAGGAAGCAGCTGCTACCTCTGGAAAGGGACAATGGAAGATATACCAAGCTTTATCCTCAAGAGTTCAGTGGCATGAACTGACACCAGCTGAAGACTACTTGAATTTTTGTACCTAAGCCCGTCTGTTTCTCTGAACTCACTAGACTTGGAAAAAAACACTCCAGACAAGAAGATCGTGCTCAAGGGCTGCAGGGAAGGAAGGAACTAAAGAGGTGTTGTTCAAATCTAGAACTCTCTTGAGTCTGGGCCCCAGGGTCTCCCACCTCCCCTCTCACTCTGCCTGGTGCAGGGTCTGTATGCAATGTCTGCACACGTGCGCAGTGGATCTAGACCACCAGGCTAACCCCCGCACCAGCATGTACCTGCTGGTCTGCATGTACATGTGCAAGGTGAATTCAGACCCGAGTGACTCAGTGAGAGAAAGCTCCACTCTGTCCATGTACGTAGGCCAACACATGTGCAGAGTGGACTGAGGTGCCAGAACCAGAGGTGCTGCTCTGCTTGGCTCATGCATGCATTCAGGAGTCTAAGTGGCACCACTGGAAGTGTACCAGGTGACCATGCTGGAAGCCACTTGACTGAGCCAGTTTGGATCCCTTGCCCAGTCAACATGAAATAGTCTGGACACGTGCCCAAGATCCTGAGGAGCTGGAGGGCTGGGGAAAGGGGATTGTAGCAATGACAAGACCCTGTCAAGGGTTCTCTCTCTCTTCTCTCTCTCTCTTTCTCTCTCACACATACACACACACACAATCATGAATTAAAAAAAAAAAAGAAATCTGACAGAGTTGTGGCTTTAACAAGGCAAGTCTTGCTACTATACCCCTGTGGCCTGAGACAGTGAAGAAGAGACATGAAGGAAAGCAGCCTGGGGCTGAGAAAACCCCCAGGTACTCGGCTGGCCAGATGTTCTCTCAAGTTCTCTCTATGTTTTCTGACTATTAATTTAACTTTAGGAGAAAATGCAGGAGAAGCTTCTAGGAAAGAGAAACTCAAGTCTCTGCCACAGGTTAACATTCCTGAATCCTAGATAAAACAGCACAGCAGTCTCTTTTCCTGTCATGGAAAAAAATCTCTCCCGTGATCTTTGGAGATCAACCCAAGTGGCCTGTGTTGAACCCACATTCCCACTTCCCTACATCGGGTCATGGAGGGCTAGCATTGTGGAGTGCTTCCCGGATCACCCACTCTGGGGGAGACTCACTGTGCAATATCTCAGCAATCCTAGGGCATAGATATTATTTTAATTATTGCCATTTGCAAATGAGGAAACCCAAACCAACAGCCAAGCAAATGATAAAGTCAGAAGCCAGAAATTGAATTCAACCCTACAGGACTTAAAAACCTCATGGTTTCCTTTTTTTTTTTTTTTCCCCTCTTATTTATTTACTTCTTCCATGACAGAGAGAGAGAGAGAGAGAGAGAGAGAGAGAGAGAGAGAGAGAGAGACAGAGAGAGAAACACCTCTGACAGGATCTCGACACCATAATCTACCCCTGGCTTCAGTCAGTCCTGCACCATGGACATGTGAGTGACCCACATACTCAGGGAGGTCTCTGGACATGAACTCAGAACTGTCCCACATGGGCCAGCCTTGCAGAACATTGCATTTTACCACTGTGTTTGGCCCCAAAATTTCCTGTTCTTAAGTGAAACACTCTACTGCCCACTATGCCACTGACTCAATCCACCTGAATTCTAGTGGATTGTTTACCGATCTGTCGGCTTCACTAAATCGTAAGTGACCTGAGCAGAGCTCAGGTTATTTATCCATGTGTCCCCCGCAGTGCTTAGCACAGTGCCTTCCACATGGCAGGTGCTTCATAAATATTCTGTGAGTCTATTTTCCACCCAGCAGCCAGAGTGATCCTTCTAAGATATAAATCAGTTGTCACTCCCCAGCCCTCAATCCTTCAGTGGCTTCCCATCACGACTAGAATAAATTCCAAAATTCTCACCATGCCCCCATAATCTGGACCTTGGCCATCTCTCCCACCTCCTTTTATACTCTTTGCTCATTTGGCTCCAATCCTACCAACTCTCTTGATGTTTCTCAGTTCCCTTCCCAACCTCAGACAAACAAATAAAAAAGCAAGCATGTCCCCAATTGCATTTGCTTTTCCCCTGAGACTTGCCTGGCTGGCTCCCTCCCTTTCTTCAGATCTCTACTCACGTGTCCCCTTCTGAGACCTTTTCTGACCACTCTATTTAAAATTGCACTCTTTACTCTCTATCCTCACATCCTGTCTTCTGTCTCTGATAGCATTTATTACTACCAGGTATTTATGTTTTCTGATTACATTGTGAGCTCCATGGTCTTAAGTTATATATCCCTGGAAGAGAGCCTGGCACATGATGGCACTCAGTTAATAGAAAGAATGAACAAATGAAGTAAATTCCCTTCTTTGTGTCAGAGATTAAATTATTAATGACATCAATCCTTTGGCAGGTAGGTCGTTCACTGGTGAGTGTGTTGACTATCCCACTGTGCCAGGCACCATGCTGAGCTGTGGGTACAGTTGTGAAGGACAGAGTCCTGGCTTCAAGGAGTTCATGCTCTCATGGAACAGGTGCTCTGTTTATTTCCTAGCTAATTTTCCTGAGGCCCACCCTCTAGGCCTCTAGGCCCCTAGACCCCGGCTCTCGCATTTCCCCTTTTACTCTGCCAGGTGCAGGGTCTGTGTGTGCATGTCTGCACTTGCACATAGTGGATCTAGATTACAGGCTAAACATGCCCACCACCCATCTGAAATGCACATGTGTAAGGTGGATCTAGGCCCTGAACTGGTCAGTAGAGAAAGGCCACACTGTGTCTGTGCATGCTCACGTTTATACATGCACGTGCACTCCATGGACCTAGACAGCTGAACGGGAGATGTTTAACTCTACTAGGTTCATGCATACATGCATGCACATGATGGATCTAGGTACCCAGAGTCTTTGTGTCCTCCACTTCCCCTCACTTGGCTGGACTTGAAGCTCACTGGTGGACTAGTGAGTGCATGCCTGCACATGCCTGAGTGGGGGTTTGAGCGCCAGGGGCATCTGTTTCCCCCTTGCTGAACTTGGCCAAGTGGCCCTGGAGTACCCTTACCTCAAGTTGGAGGTCTCTGCTCCTCATCACTGCCATGTTCTTTTCTTCACTGAGCTGAGCATAGCGCATGGCTAAGTTGTAGTTGTCATCCTTCACCTTAACCAGCTCGTCATTGTAGCTGTCCCGTTCTTCCTTCATCTTATAGTACCGCTCCTGGAAAGTCAGCAGCTCCACTCGTGTCAGTGTCAGCTGCTTCTTCTCATCCTCCAGCTGCCGTGACTTGGCCAGCAGCTCGCACCGCTGCCGGGCCCTTGCCCTTCTTTTC